TGGTCGTTACCCTCGTGTTGGACTTCAAATGGGTATAGCCTTTGAATTGGTCGACTTATGATTACCGGCTTACCGTTAGTAATCACTCTCACTCGGGCACCCCTTACATTCCCGTCACTCCCTTTTATTACCCCCTCCACCTTTCCTACCTTCCACCTATTTCGCTTCACTCCATCTTCGTACAGTAGTACCACATCACCCACCTGTGTCTTTCGCACTGTACTTACTTTACCTRTCTTGTGATACTCTCTCAGATCGGCTAAATATTCTTTTCTCCATCTGTTCCAAAAATGGATCCGTTTCCTTGCCATGTATCTGTACCTTTTCACAATGCTTCCGACCTCATCTTCTTGGTCTTCTGTGCGTCCTGATTCGTCTGGTAGTGAAGTTAGTCTTCTCCCGAAAATAAGATGCGACGGTGTCAGGAACTCTATCCCTGCCTCGTCGTATTYATAGGTTAATGGACGAGAATTGATTGTACCTTCAATCTCGACCAAGCACGTTAATAATTCATCATACTTTAACCTTGCRTTCCCTAGTACCTTTCGAAGACATCTCTTTACTGTACCTACCATTCTCTCAAAGAAGCCTCCCCACCACGGGGCCTTTGGTAGATTAAACCTCCACTCTATGCGATTCCGATCGCAATAGGTTAAAACATCTTCACTTTCGAAGATCCCSTTTAYGGACTTGGATGATGCCTGGAATGTCTTAGCATTATCCGACACTATCAATGTTGGACATCCTCTCCTTGAAGTAAATCTGCGCAAACTCAACATGAATGTTTTTGCGTCAAGGCTGTYTACTAAATCTAAATGAACTGCTCTTGTCACGCAACAAGTAAATAATACGATGTAAACCTTACCCATGCTGCCTTTCGCTCCCTTGACGTACAAAGGACCTGCAAAATCAACACCTGTCTTTGAGAAAGGCTCCTCTTGTCTCACTCTGAAGTGGGGTAGATCTGCAGTAGGCGGTGCACTGTATGGTTTCCCTTCATGTCTTTTACATACGTTGCACTGGTGCARTATCGCTTTTACGCTTTGACGACCTCTTGGGATCCAGTACTTTGACCTCAGTTCTGCTAGTGTTGCTCTTAGTCCTGAGTGATAAACTCTCTTATGGCAATTACAAATTATTAACTCAGTTAAACGATGTCTCCTTGGTAGCAGAATYGGTTCGCGCGCTTCATCCTCTAAGTCGGCATTGCACATCCTTCCTCGACATCTCAGGATACCKTCACGCTCTRCRAGTCTTAGCTCACAYTCAAGTTGCTTGAAGTTACCCTTCTCTTTCATCTTTGCTTGCGCAGCAGATATCAGTTTCTTTTCTGCCTGCAACAACYCTTCTACTCTCAACTTACCACCTGTTCTTTTSTCTTGAGATCTCGCTTTCACGTTCTGTACAAAGCGGCTGACCCATGCTACTACACGGACAAGCCTTTCGAATGTACCATACTTACTTGGATCTACTACGTTCTCTAGGTCAATRTTTTGCGTTGAATTGACGCTCAGTGCTGTCGTTTTTATCTCGACCATCGCTTCCGGCGTTACGTCTACTTCGKTTGCGCGGACTGGCCAACCCTCCTTTGGTCCTACTAACCAACTAGGCCCTTTCCACCATAACTCACTCCCCACTAACTTACTTGCCATCTGTCCCCTCGAGCCTAAGTCCGCCGGATTTTCCTTCCCTGGACAATGACCCCATTGAGCCTTCTTCGTTAGTCTTAGAATTTCGTTCACTCGATGACGAACGAATTGTTTCCACTCACCTCTGTTTTCTATCCAKYACAATGCGGTCGTGCTGTCCAACCATAAGAACGTTTCTTCTATCTCTAATTCTCCCTTTAGGGCGTTGGTCACTGTGTGAATAAGCTGAGCGAGGACTCYGGCTCCCATTAACTCTAATCGGGGTATGCTTTGTTCYTTTAGAGGCGCTACTCGTGTTTTGGATGTCAGCAATTCTACCTTTGTACCTTCTTTGGATTCGCAGACTAAATACACCACTGCGCAATACCCCTTGCAACTGGCATCCGCGAACCCGTGTAGCGAACACTTAGGTGAATTATTGCCTCCGCTGTACACACAACGAGGCACTCTTACCTCCTTAACGGCYGCGAAGTCGTCCATCCACTCGTGCCATTTTCTCGTCTGTCCGGGATCCAACTCTTCGTCCCAGCCCATACCCTGCTTACACAAATCTTGAAAGAACATTCTCATACTTACACCTACAGGACTGACAACACCCAACGGATCGTACAAACCTGCTATAGCACTAAGTACGTTTTTATCCGAAACGTCCTTTAGGTTGATAACGAATTTATCCGTATTTAGGTCCCACTTCAAACCTAAAACCTTCTGTGATGAGCACTCGTCGTTTCCCGCCAGGGCCGTTTTAGCATATGTTGGTGTGTCTGTGGTTTTACTCTCGACCTCATTAACCCCTTCATATGTACTTATTTGCTTCAAGAGCTCTTCATCGTTACTCAACCATTTTCGCAGTTTAAAGCCGCCATCTGCCAACCTTGACTTTGCCTTTCTGTACGTTTCCAAGGATTCCTCTTTCGTCTGCTCACCCGTTACCAAGTCGTCTACATAAAAACT